AAAGTTTTTTTTTTTTTTTTTTTTTTTTTAAATCCAGCTAGGATTCTCTTTGCTATAGTTCATTTGTTTTAACTCTTGCTTTATTTTCCTTTTTGAATCAGACAGGTTTTTTTTTTTATTGTACTAAAAAAAAAGTGTATTTTGCTAATACAAAATGAAGCACAAAGCTAATTGTGTCCCTGTTTGTTTAGAGCTTACAATCTTTAGCAGGCCATAGATAGATAGATCGCATGGTACGAACCATGCAGTGGTTCCCACTCCTGCCATGGCGATGGATAGGGGTTCCCACCTCCCCTGTTTGCTTTCCCATCCTAATGTTCTATTATGAACAATAAGAGGAGTGAAAATGCCTCATTCTTGTATGTGGCTCTTGCGGCTGAAGTCCCCGAGGTGGCTTAACCCACCAGCCTCCACCTAATTGTAACTACACAGGAAAATCCATCAGGTTGGAAACCTTTTTTATTGTATTCTCAATAGTTCTCTGGTTGGGACGAATTGGTTGGCAGCACACTTCCTTGGCCAATGAGGACTGAGCTGACATTTAAGGGCATATCTATATGCTGGGTCAAATATGCTGGGTCAAATACTTTCTGGATTTTGAAAGGTCCTGCTCTTTCTTTTCCTGCAGAGCGATAATGACACATGCCTCTGTCCCAGAAGAAGATCGGGTCCTCCTCAATATCAATGACTGCCTCATCCGCCTCTCTGTTGGCTTAGAAGACACAGAAGACCTAATTGAAGACTTGGATCAGGCATTGAAAGCTGCAGTGAGTACTGCCAGAATATAGTTTTGACTCTTAGGTCTGATAAATCAAACTTATTTGGGCAAAGTTAAGATTATTTATTTTTATTATAATATTATCACTTAGAAGCAAACTCCAAGGCGGCTGGCTTTCCTACTTTCAGTACTGATGTGAAAAAAATCCTTTTGGTTTTTCCGTCCTCAGACTAAGACCTCTGATACTATGTCTAGGTGGGGGACTATGGTAGACGGGTTGTAGTACAAGACAGTTGGCCTAAGAGGGGGAGCATAAATGGTCATATGGACCTCCTAAGAGTCATATCTTGATTGGAAACCATATACACCTTCTGGTAAGTTACATCTCTTCAACCAGCTGTCATCATAGTGTGGTGTTGAACATTTAAATTTGATAAAAAGGTGCATTTACACAAGTCCTAGCAAGATATAGGGTCTACAAAGTAATGTGCCTTTTCATTGCTAGACTGAGGGGGAAAAACCCACCCCTTATCTTTCAGTGCTAAATCTCCTTTCGATGTCATTGTGGCCAGCAATCTCAGAAGTATGATGGTGCCACTCTCTGGTCCCCACATTCCCTAAAGCTGCCACTTCTTAATATCCTCAAGTTACATAGAGAAAGCTTCTCTAGTCATGGTTTGATGTTTGGGAAACCAAGGCCTCTGAAGGACGAATGCTCTCATCAGTCAGCACACATGGCAGCGATGTGCAGCCTGCAACATTAAATATCCCTCTTCTTCCAAAAAACAAAAACAAAAAAACCACGGGCCAATCCTGGGTAGGACGTGTATATGTATCATTCTATGAACGAGTTGCACTATGGTATCCTTCGGTTCTTATGTTTTAACTGAAGCGTGCTAGGCTTGTGCTCCTTTTTATTCTAAGTGTGGGTGATGTGTTTCCTGTTCCGGTGGGAGGAGCCTATCTCTCATGCTGTCCTGGAAGGTTCCTAGAAACAGAGTTACCAGGTACGTAACTCCAATTTTTTTGCTGGTATTGATACCCTTCAAACCCATGGCAATACCTTTCACACTAATGTGTTGCTATGTGTTTTTCTTCTTTGTCTTTACAGCACCCAGGCCTTGTAAACCCTCTCAAGGTGGATGAACTCCTGAAGAATATGAAGTACAATTGTTAAACATGAAAACTTTCACATTCTTGAACAGTTTTGATTCGCTCACAGTGAACCAGTCATAATTGGCCTTTTGCAAGGGTCCTAAATTATTCTAATTCTAAAGACTTACTGTTTGAAAGATTCATACCTTCATCTTTATATAGCTTCATGCAATATATCTAGCCAAGAGTCAGAGGTGATAAGTTCGCTGGGGTTTGACAGTTGCTGCTTGAACTCCTGTGGCTAACATGCTGTCTTCCACTTGCAAAGTCATTATAACGGTAGCAAACAGAGCCTTCTAATTGTTTTACATTCCATTTATCTCCAGGACTCTTTTACACTATGTAATACTGTTATGTGCACTCAGGTGACGGGTGTACTGTATGTGTTGTCTGCATAAGCTCGGACAGTTGGCAGAGAGGCAAATGTCGGACATTAGGTGACTTCTTACATCTGACTCCTAAAGTTAAATAAGTGGAGACTATAGAACCTGTCATAGGTGTGACTACAGTAATAATTTAAAGCTGGTTAACCAATGTCCTGCAATAACCTTTCTTGTCATCGTACAGCCGCCTAGAATGATAAAGAGTTGAATGTTTGTATAGAACCTCAAGCATGATTCTAACACACCACTAGCATGTCAAACGAATTATGTAATTTTAAAATGTGTAACTTCTGTCTCAAGACCACAACCGCAGTGTTTCATAAGTGAAAAGGGATTGTTTCATAATATCAAAGGGACTTTTGCAAATGGACAGATGTCAACTTGTTGAATAGTATGGCGGGGGGCACCTTACACAGCGCATTGAGGTTTGCCTGGTTGAGTTGGCTCAAAAGTCAATAGCCCTTGGTATGAAATTGCATCTTTAGCTGATGGTCAATCAGTTTTGCCAATGTTGCTGATATGGGTGACTGCAGTTACAACATCACTGTTTTGCTCTTGGCCTTATGATGCACACCTGAAACTCTTTTATTAAAGGAGAACTATGGGGTCAGGGCTTTTCCCCATAGTTCTCCTTAGGGTAATGGGAGGGCGCAAACTAGCGTCCTCCCGACACCCTAA